GAAGGCTAGTTTAAGAGTTGGTAAATCAATCGGAATATATGTACCTTAAACTAATGACCTAGCTTAAGAGTTGGTTAGAAGTACCTTAAACTCTAATAAGTTTAAGAGTTGGATAAAAGTACATTAAAACTAGAATTAGTTTAAGAGTTGGATAGAAGTACCTTAAACTAGAACTAGTTTAAGAGTTGGTAAACATTAAAAAGATTGGCCTTAGACTAAGAATAGTTTAAGGATATTATTGAATGAGGATGTTGAATGTTGAATATGAATATTGAATGACGAATGTTGAATATTGATTATTGTATATTTGAACTGAATACTTTGTGCATGATATCAAATGATTTGATTATGAATTTGGGTTCAATTTATATGGATGTTCGACGCTTTAGATATGCTTACTCAGTTTCACCGCTGAGCGTGTAGTATGTTTTATTTGCTACACGCAGGTTAATAGAAAGAATGATGTGACGTGATTCTGGAGGCAGACGGAGGCGAGATTGTCGGAATGGATGTGATGGTTTTGAATTAAAGAACATAAATAAATTATGTTTGTAATTATGATTTGTTAAGCTTCCGCAATATTGAAAACTCCGCAGTGTATATGTTATGAAAAATATTATCGTGTTTGAAAAGTTTTAAATTTTACGATTACCAAGTTAATACTTTAGTCCGAAAGGGGCTGCAGACCTGGACGGATTAGGGTGTTACAGTAAGAGGATGAACTGCAGAAACTGTGTCGATTATCCCATCAAGTGTGCTGTCTGTAGCCTTTTTTCCATATATACCAAAACCAATTATAAACCATATCATCATCAGAATTGTTAGCGAAATGAATAATAATACTCTTTAAATATGAATAAATTAATCATAACTTACCTGCGAAATTCCATTGAATAATTACAATAGAATCCATGTGCAGCTAATTGATTCACCAACATTATCAACACACTAAAACTATCCTCCATTACATCATTCCTGCGCATTTAATAATTAAAAATTGAAAAGACTCAAGATGAACACCACAAACTGAAAAAGTTATTGTAGGTAAATAAACCAAAAAGTTGTAGCACATACAAATCGAACAACAAGGCGGTATTTCGGGGTGATATATTTGTTCTTGTCCTGATTGATCAGCCGAGTCCTAGCTTTGTAATCTGTCTTTCCCTCTCCACAAAACATAGAAACATGAGAGATCTAACAGAAAGAAACCCATTGACGAAGCTAAATTCGATTTCAAAGGTCTATTCAAAATTCAAACCTCATCTTCTCTTGAACTTGACCGGAAAGCGCTAGAAGTAAGCCCTTGACTTCTGGACTTTGATGAACACCTGCACGTGAATTTTATCAACAATGACTGTCAGAAATTTGATCTGTTCTAGACTGGTCTGCCGTTTAGACGCCGCCGCTGCTTCTCTCGCCGGAGCAGAGGCTCGCCACCAGATTCCTCGCCGGATTTCGCTGGCTCAATTCTCGCCGTTGGTTCAGTCACCAGAGCAGAGGTGAACCGCATGATGTCTGGGCTGGTTCGCCGGAATAGATGGTAGTGGCTGACTGGTCATCGCCGGAGGAAAGTTGCCGATTGCCGTTGCGCTTCGCCGGAGTTCTCTCACCGTCGCCAGAGCACCACCTCCTCAGGCGGTTGCTGTTGTTGAATCGACGAAGGAAACTCGCCGACCATCGCCATGAATTGAGTCACTGCGCCTTCGTAGTCTGTCGCAGGCGTTGCTGAATGGGAAATTGAGAGGAGGGTTGGCCGCGACCCTGATCGAAGAAGAAGAGGGTCCTGTGGCGGCGTTCAATCGAAGAAGAAGAACGGGTTCTAAAAATTTGCGTAAAATAACTTGTCTGAATAATACTCCTTCCTTCCGTGCGTAAATAGATTACAATTTTTTTTCTCTCCTTTCGATAACTTTTGTTTGTTTATGCAATTTCATTAAGTATTTGATAAAATAAAATATTCTTCTCACTTCTTGTTTTGTAGAATTCTTTACGTAGTTTTTAATAGGTAATTTTTATATTATATTGATATACCAATTTGTAAATAAAATGATTTCAAAAAGTAGAAAATTTTACTCCGTAACCCGCAATTTGTAATCAAATTGGGGACGGAGGGAGTACATACTTTTCGTGCTAAGTTGCTCTAAATTGAGATTCGTTCGCGTCGTTGGATTTGATTCGTCAATCCCTACCCAACGATAAAACTTTTCTAATCGAATCAAATCAAATTCAACTCTCATAAGATCAGATCAAATCTTCAAAAAAATTTATTCCCTTGTATAGGTTGTGTCCTATTAGCTGATCGAATCTTTAAATGCATTAGATTAGATCTAATTAGATCAAATCAGGCCAAAATAGATCCAATCGGATCGAATTAAATTCAAATCCAATAAGATGAGATCAAAACTTGAAGGAAATCTACACACTTATATAGGTTGTGTCCTATTTGCCTGATTTAATCTTTAAATGCATTAGATTAGATCTAATTAGATCAAATCAGGCCAAAATAGATCCAATCGGATCGAATTAAATTCAAATCCAATAAGATGAGATCAAAACTTGAAGGAAATCTACACACTTATATAGGTTGTGTCCTATTTGCCTGATTTAATCTTTAAATGCATTAGATTAGATCTAATTAGATAGAATTAGGGGTGGACACGGTACCGGTACGGTACCGTCACCGGCAACGGTACCGCCGGTACCCGCCACCGTCACCGGCAAGGTCGCCGTGTCACCGGTTCCGGGAACCGGTACCGGTACCGCCACTTTCGGTACCGGTTCCGGTACCTATTTTTTGGTACCGGTACCAGCGGTACCGGTCCGGTTCCGGTACCGGTTTAATTTTTTTTTTTTTTTTGTTGATTTGAAAATCTGCACTGCAAAAAGTTAAAAAAAAAGGTGGGGGGGCACACCTCAAAC